GTTGGGGGTTCCCCGTCTCCTGCACCCCGAAATGGCACAAACAGACTGCACCAGCCAGTGGAATTGAGGGTGGTTTATTGCTCCTCCAGCACAGCGCAGCACAGATGTAGTCTGGTCCCAGAGCTGGGCTAGGATGCCTCAGGCCCCCTTGAGATGGGGGAGACTGGGCCCCTAAACTCCAGCCCCTTCCCCTAGGCTCTCCTCCATGCTCTTCCACAGTCTAACTAAATTCCCCTCCAGCCCTGCCCCCGCAGTCAGGGCAGCATCCACCTTCCTTTGTTCCTCTCCATGGGGGGTGTCTGGCCACTGGTTCAACCAGTTTGGCCTTATCTCTGCCTAGCCAGGTTTTCTCTGCTGGGTCTTGCTCCAGACAGCAGGGGTCACCACAGCCCAGCAATTACCCCCACTACGTCACAATATCCTATCAAAGAAAGCTATCAAATTGGTTTGACATGATTTGTTCTTTACAAATCCATGCTGGCTGTTACCTATCACCTTACTATCTTCCAGGTGTTTGCCGATGAATTCCTTAATTATTTGCTTCATTATCTTTTCTGGCACAGAAGTTAAACAGACTGGTCTGTAATTTTTTGGGTTGTTCTTATTTCCCTTGGTATAGATGGGCACTAGATTTGCCCTTTTCCAGTCTTCTGGAATCTTTCCCGACTTCCATGAATTTTCAAAGATGATAGCTAAAGGCCTCCTCTATCAGCTCGAGTATTCTACGATATATTTCATCAGGCTTGCAGACATGAAAAGCAAATCTGCAGTAGCCTTCACAGCAGCCTGACCGCTGCTCACCTTCAGCAACTGTTAATTCTTGCAGCAGAGACCGACTTGCCGAACAGTGTTAACCTAGGAGCGCCCATCTTTAAAAAAGGGAAGGACAATCCAGGGAACTACAGACTGGTCAACCTTATCTCAGTCCCTGGAAAAATCATGGAGAGATCCTCAAGGAATCCATTCTGAGGCTCATGGAAGCGGGGAAAGTGATCAGGAAGAGTCAATATAGATTCACCAAGGGCAAGTTGTGCCTGATTAGCTTCTATGATGAGGTAACTGGCTCTGTGGACGTGGGAAAGTCAGTGGATGTGTTAATGGATTGGATAAATGGTCTGTAAGGTGGATAGAAAGCTGGCTAGATTGTTGAGCCCAATGGGTAGTGATCAATAGCTCGATGTCTGGGTGGTGATCGGTTTCAAGTGGAGTGCCCTAAGGATGGGTTCTAGGGCTATTTTTTCAACATCTTTAATAATGACCTGGATGAAGGGATGGATTACACCCTCAGCAAGTTTGCGGATGACACTAAACTAGAGGGCGAGGTAGACATGTTGGAGGGTAGGGTAGGATCCAGAGTAACTTAGACAGATTGGGCCAAAAGAAATTTAATGAAGTTCAACAAGGACCAGGGAAAAGTCCTGCCCTTGAAATGGAAGAATCCCAAGCATTGGTACAGCCCGGGGACCGACTGGCTAAGCAGCAGTTTGGCAGAAAAGGACCTGGGGATTCCAGTGGATGAGGAGCTGGATATGAGTCAACAGTGGGCCCTTGTAGCCAAGAAGGCTAATGGCATAGTGGGGTGCATTAATAGGAGTATTGCCAGTGGATCTAGGGAAGTGATTATTCCCCTTTATTCAGCACTGGTGAGGCCACATCTGGAGTATTGTGTCCCGTTCTGGGGCCCTCATTACAGAAAGGATGTGGCCGCATTGAAGAAAGTCCAGCGGAGGGCAACAACATGGTGATGGGGCGGGAGCACATGACCTCTGAGGAGAGGCTGAGGGATTTGGGTTTGTTTAGTCTGCAGAAGAGAAGAGCGAGGGGGGATTTGGTAGCAGCCTTCAACTTCCTGAAGAGGATGGAGAGAGGCTCCAAAGAGCAGAACGAGGAGCAATGGGCTCAAGTTGCAGTGGGGGAGGTCTAGGTTGGATATTAGGAAAAACTATTTCCGTAGAAGGGTGGGGAAGCCCTGGGCTGGGTTCCCTAGGGAGGGGGTGGAATTTCCATCCCTAGAGGTGTTTAGGTCCCGGCTTGACCAAGCCCTGGCTGGGATGATTGAGTTGGGGCTGGTCCTGCTTTGGGCAGGGGGCTGGACTCGATGACTCCGGAGGTCTCTGCCAGCCCTGTGATTCTGTGATTCTGTTAAGGAGAGGCTGTGGACCCATTTATTCCGTTGGCTGCCCGGTACATGGATTTTCATTGCAATGGTGAGCGTGCTGCTGTTTATGTCTATGCAGACAGCATCTGTGCATGTATTGATGGGGTATCATGTGTACAGTGTGTGACTGTTTAACGGATCCCTGCACACATCAAGTCTCTGGGCGTGCCCTTGCTCACCAGCACCTCATGGTGCTCTGCCCAAGGACTGACGTAGCAGCAAATGTCCACGCAAGGGAAGCTCTTCAAATGGGAACTGAGGCTGGCTCTGGTTGCTGGGAACATGCAGGCTGGCAGGATGTCGGGAACTCAGTGGGCCCTAACAATTCAGGGTTCCCCCTCCCCCAGCACCAGGAACCAGGGGCTAGAGCGGCCACAGCTGGGGAGGGTACGAGGAAGCCTGGGACCTGGTGGTCTGACTCGGGTTTGAGCCCTGGCTTTGGGGCCTGTGTCTTGTACGCCCAGGGCATGGACGTCACAAGTGCCTGGAGCTGAGTCCCACGAATGGGCCCCCCAGCCGCTCGGCTCCCAACAGCGTGCGCACTTGGGACTGGCCATGGAGAACATGTCGTGGGGATACACTGTGGCTACGTCTACACTGGCACCCTTTTCCGGAAAAGGGATGCAGATGAGCCAAGTCGGAATTGCAAATGCAGCGGGGATTTAAATTTTCCCCGCTGCATTTGCATGAACATGGCTGCCGCTTTTTTCCGGCTCGGGGCTTTGCCGGAATAAAGCGCCAGTCTAGATGGGATCTTTCGGAAAATAAAGCCTTTCCTCTTAAAATCAGGAATAAGGGATCTTTCGGGAAAGGCTTTATTTTCCGAAAGATCCCATCTAGACTGGCGCTTTTTTCTGGCAAAGCCCCGAGCCGGAAAAAAGCGGCAGCCATGTTCATGCAAATGCC